ACCCAGTGCAGTGCGGTTCACAGTGCACACACGGACAGCAGTGATCACTGCGGGATTCACAGGACACACGGGTACACCAGCACCCAGTGCAGTGCAGTTCACAGTGCACACACGGACAGCAGTGATCACTGCAGGATTCACAGGAGACACATGTACCGCAGCACCCGCTGTAGCACAGTTCACAGGAGACACACGTACCGCAGTGCCCAGTGCAGCACGCTTCACAGTAGCCGAACAGGGGAAACAACCCAAGTGTCCATCACTAGATGAATGGAGAGACAAAATGTGGCCCGCACATACGTGAAATGCTACTCAGTCACAGGGAGCAATGAGGTCCTGGTCTATGTCGCAACACAAATAAACCTGGATGCACTGTTGTCAGTGAAATAAGCCAACACAAAAGCACAGATACCGTATAATCCCCGTTTCATGAACTGTCTAGAACGCAAGCAAAGCTATAGAGACAAAAGTGTGTCTGTGGTTACCAGGATCTGAATGGAAGAATGAAGAGAAAAAATAAAATCATGCATAATTCCATTTAAAAATTACAAACAGCCAAAGGGAAGAACTGTTCTTTCATGCCTGACACTAGTGATACGTGCTGGGCAGTAATTCATCAAATACTCGTGAGCTAACAAAGTGAATGCAAATCGTAGCTGTTAAGAAATGAAAGTGAGCTTTCTGTATTAAGGGGAAAAAAGCTTATCACAAAAAACAGTGAGTGACTGGAGCCATTGTTGCTGTTACCACCTCTTCAGAAAGAAGGCTTTAGAACCCAGTGCCTGTTTGCTCTTTGCTGGTGGTGCTGGCTGCTTCTCCTTTGCCTCCCTTGTGCATCTAGGCCACCATCCAGAGAGGCCATTTCAGCTTCCCCATCACAGGCTCCTCACTCGGCAGGCCCGGGTACCAGGCCCTTACATCCACGTATGCAAACCCTCCAGCTTTCCCTTCTGGCTTGGTTTGGTTTTAACCTTACTCATCAGGATACTTACTTAATTATTTTAAGTTATTTTTCATTTCCTGGTTTGTACTTAACTTTATTCATGTTCCCCCTTTTGACAAAAAGAAAAATCTGCTTTTCATGACACACTCACAGTTTCTGAGTGTGTGCATGTTCTGTTTCCTGTTTGGGTAGAGTGGCTTCAGCTCCGTCTTGGGTACCTGTCTTAGTGGCCTGTGCTCTGTGGCTTCCTTAATAAGGAAGCTGTTGGCTCCCAGGGCCTAGTGGACCACGTGTCCCAGGGAACACTGTCCAGCTTTTCTGGGCAGTTAAAGAACATCAGTGGCCTGAGAACAGTCTGGTGTTAACTTCAGAGTCATCACTGTTGATGGGTAAACAAGGGATGTGGTGAACTCAGGTAGACAGTGAACTCAGGTAGACAAGGGATGCTGTGATCACATGACCTGACCAAGCCCAGGTAGATGGAGACACTGATTGCATGCAACCCAACTATGCTCAGGTGGACAGGGGACAGGCACTGTGATCACATGACCCAACTGAGCTCAGGTGGATGGGGACGTTGTGATCACGTGACCTGAGCAAGCCCAGTTGGACGGAGACACTGATCACATGCAACCCAACTATGCTTAGGTGGACAGGGGACCCTGTGATCACATGATCCCACCAAGCCCAGGTGGATGGGAACACTGTGATCACATGACCCAACCAATCCCAGGTGGGTGGGAACACTGATCACATGACCCAAGTGAGCTCAGGTGGACAGGGGACACTGTGATCACATGACCCAACCAAGCCCAGGTGGGTGGGAACACTGATCGCATGACCCAGCTGAGCTCAGGTGGACAGGGAACATTGTGATCACATGACCCAACTGAGCTCAGGTGGACAGGAACACTGTGATCACATGACGCAACCAAGCTCAGGTGGACAGGGAACACTATGATCGCATGACACAGCTGAGCTCAGGTGGACAGGGGACACTGATCACATGACCCAACTGAACTCAGGTGGACAGGGGACAGTGTGATCTGTGATCACATGACCCAGCCAAGCCCAGGTGGATGGGAACACTGTGATTACATGACCCGACCAAGCCCAGGTGGATGGGAACACTGTGATCGCATGACCCAGCTGAGCTCAGGTGGACAGGGGACACTGATCACATGACCCAACTGAGCTCAGGTGGACAGGGGACAATATGATCACATGACCCAACTGAACCCAGGTGGATGGGAACACTGTGATCACATGACCCAACTGAGCCCAGGTGGACAGGGAACACTGTGATCGCATGACCCAGCTGAGCTCAGGTGGACAGGGAACAATATGATCACATGACCCAACTGAACCCAGGTAGACATGGGACACTGATCACATGCAACCCAACCAAGCTCAGGTGGATGGGGATGCTGTGATCACATGACCTGACCGAGTCCAGGTAGACCAGGAACGCTGTGATCACATGCCACCCGACTAAGCTCAGGCGGCTCTGGTTCTAGTCCCAGCTCTGAGATAAGTCCCTGATAGGGCAGAACCTTGTCTCGTCCCATTTAGCCTCTGCAGAGTGGGCTGCTTAGTCCTGGGTTTCAGTGAGCCCCATGTAGTCCACATATAATCGCTGAGGGAGGAAACTGAAACCAAAAACTGAACTCACTGCCATCAAGTCAATTCGACTCATAGTGACCCCTCCTTGGATTTCCAAAGCAGTATCTCTATGGAAGTAGATTGCCAAAACTTCCTTCTGAGGAGTGGCTGGGGGGTTTGAACCACCAGTCTTCTGGTTAGCAGTCAAAAGCAACCTCCAGCCTCTACAGAGTGGGGTGCTTAGTCCTAGATTTTAGGGAGCCCTGTGCAGTCCACATATGATCACCAAGGGAGGAAATCAGGCTGTAAATCTTATTAGGACTCACACTGTGATTTACCAGCGAGAGATACCTGGTGTAAGACACACCATTTAATAGCCATTTCCTGTAGGGACTGAATGGCTTGCAGGTGGACATTGCATCTGCAGAGAATGCAGACATTTCTCTGACCTCTGCCACCCACCTGGAGTATCTAGGCCCATCACACCATCCAGTGCAGTGAGTCGGGCTGTCAAAGACACGGCTGACCTTGACTCGGATGTCATCTGCCCCATGCTGCACAGAAGGCAGCTGAGTATCAGCTTAGGCCTCGCTTCTGACTGGTTGTTGCTCTTAGTATTTATAAACTCTCTGAGTCATCTCGGAAAGCGGGGGGCATAGCATGGGGAAGGCACTTCTGGGATATGTAGTCCTGGGGGTTCTGTCATCTTACCTCCTCTCTGCACGTACCATCATGGAAACACCAGTGTTGGAGATAGGTACTGCATATGGCTACGTTACCATCTCAGACTTTCACCTGATGGCATTGTATTTCAGGGGCCTTACAGTCTCTGTCCATCTAATAAGCACCAGCTTTGTTTTTGTTCATTACAGTCTGTATCGTCCTGAGAGAAATAAGTGGAATATGCCTTCCAAGAGAGACGGGGAGAGCCGTAGCTGGGTTTGCTTAGCAGCCCCCTGCTCGGTGAGCAGTAGGGTGCGTGTCCTCTGCTGACCTCTCTCATTTGTGATTTCAGAGGTGGTGGTCCAGTGGTGCACACAGGGAGACTTGCTGGCTGTGGCCGGGATGGAGCGACAGAGCCAACTTGGTGAACTCCCCAGTGGCCCTCTTCTGAAGAGTGCCATGGTCAAGTTCTACAATGTCCGTGGGGAGCACATCTTCACACTGGACACGCTCGTGCAGGTGAGGACACACGGACGAGCCCATGCGCACTTCCATCACGGTGGCAGCTTTTATAGGTGATGCTGCTATGTCAGTCCTCTGCCACTCCCTGTCGCACTCAGGACTCTCTGTACTCGGGATTATCACTGACAGATGGTACTGTAAGCTGTTGTTGACCCCAGTTAAATACCAAGGTTCTTGTAAGCAAAACACTGTCCTCCATCCCAGCCAGGCAAGCGTCATGCTCTGCATTTTGTAGGCCATCCCGGCCATTCCTGTTGCTGTAATTAGTGTGTCTACAAAGGCCTGAAGCTCGGGACAGAGAATGGCATAGACCCAGTGCTGGCTTCGCATCTCCTGGTAGCTGTCTCACTGGCCTTTCAAGCTTAGCATGTTCAAGCCCCAGAGCAGTCCACCTCTTCCAGGTCACAGCGCCATCGCTTGTCAGTCTTGCGAGCTGGAAACCAGCAGTCATCCTAAGTCTTCCCTCAGATTTTCCCATATTCTCTGAATCCTGGAATTGTTACTTCTCAGATTCCTAGACATGCTGTCACCGCCTTCGTCCAGGCCACCACTGTCTCACCTGGAGCCACCCTTCCCCTCCCAAACCTGTCTTCATTTTGCAGCCACAACGTCATTGTAAAATCGCAAGTTCAATCAGCAGCCTTTTACTGCCGTTAGGATAAAGTCTAGAAGTTCCTATTGTTCCTTTAATGGACCTCCATCAGCTGGTCCCATGGCCTTTCTAGAATCAGCTCTCACCCCTGCATCCTCCCTGGCCCTGCCATTCTAGATTTTTCTGTTCCTCCAACAGAACACTTGCTGTCATCCAGTCTTTCTCCCATGCTGTTCCCCCAGCTAGATACCCTTGTCCCCACGCTTCTCCTGGTAGCTCCTGGCTGTCTGTGCTGCTGTCTGAACATCTTTTCTGCAGAGGCCATTCTGACTCTCCAGACTGCTGGGCCACAGTGACCCTGGAGCACTCCCCTTCCTTAGGCTCTTGTAATGCTCCTCAAGCTGATATTATCCACTTGAGGTCTGTTTGTAAGGTCGCCGAAAGCAAGGACCTGTCTTTCTTGTTCACTGTTGTATCCACAGTTCCTTACACATAGATATTCAGTAAATATTTACAGGCATGCATCACTTAACATCCATGACACCTTCTGTGAAATAGGACGTTACGTGATTTGGATGTTGTGCGAACACCATGTTAAAACCTTATGGGAGCTGCTTTGAGTTGTCCCTGTTACCACTATTGTTGCTGCTGCTGCTGGCAGAGACCAGAGGGAAAGCGATGGTGGCTGTGGCAGCTGAGAGAGTGGCTATGGGAGCAGAGAGGAAGCAAGCGGGGAGGAAACAAAGCATGCCTAGCCCTACCCACTGTTCCGCCTGCCTGAGCAGCAGAAGCAGCCCAGACCCCACAGCCCCTGCTGCTGCCACACACCTGCCTGCCTGCCTGCCAAACAAAGCTCCAGAGTGCATGCCCAGAGCCATGTCCTCTGCCTTACCTGCCTGTATCCCACCCATGGTGCACTGCTGCAAGAGTCTGGGTTTGGGGGTCTTTAAAACCATTAAGGAAAAAAACCTTACGGAACCATGGACACATACGTGGTCGGACGTTGCCCAAACGGCCATTAAATGGCAGAGACCTACGTATTGAATGAAAAAACCACTTCAGTTTCCCGGTAGCCCACATGCAAAGTGCTAGGGGTAGAGTGCTTTTAGAATGTTCCAGCTGGACAGGGAGCCATTTCACCCCATCCTGGATTAAAGAGAAGCTGGCTCTCCTCCTTTCTGGAGACCTGCATACTCAGCCCAGGTCCTGAGCGGTGGTGGGTAGTATTTTCACTTGGAGCATGGGATTCCATCGTGCCTCGCCACCGTACCACGCTGCAGGCTTTCTGTTCAGCACATCAGCCCTGCTTCAGACTCCTCAGTGACCTCCCCGCACAGACTCCCCCAGTCCCCTCGTGCTCTGGGCCCTGCCTCCTGCAGCCTCATGGAACACCAGCTTCCTGGACCACCAGCCACGCGGGCCTCCTTGCTGTGCCCTGAACCTGCCATCCCGAGGGCTCCCTGCACAGAGTCCTCCTACCCGGCTTTCCAGAACAACCCCCCTCACCTTTCAGCTCCTCACACCCGTCTCATCTTCTCAGAGAGACTCTCCACAACTCCCTCCAAGTGCACTGCTCCTTCATGGTTGCCTTCATAGCACCTACTGTCACTGGGATTTTTAAACGTGTTGTTTGCCTGGTTGTTTCATCCCAGTGAGACATGAGGAACATGAGTGCAGCAACCTGAACTGTCCTTTCACTACTGCACCTGGGAGGCCAGCGGGTCTCATCCCGCTCACCACCGTAACATGGGGCTCAGAGTGAGGTCTCATCCTGCTCACCACTGTAACATGGGGCCTCAGAGTGAGGTCTTATCCTACTCACCACCGTAACATGGGGGCCCAGAGTGGTGCTGGCTCCCAGTGGAGTCTCAGTAAATACTGGTCCTATGAGTAGGCCCGAGGACCACATGTCAGATTGCCTGGCATTACCTGGAGAGCTAGGTGACCTGAGGGCTCAGGTCACTGAACACCATTCTTCCCTTCACTCCAAATCCTTTCACTTCCTAAGCGTCTTCACCAGCTGCTTAGTCTCCAGTTCTTTGTCTTGGCTGTCGCAGCTGCACCTCCAGTTCCTGGAATAATGGTTGGCTCCAGTAGATATCTCAATTAAATATTAATTGGATGCGTGAGCACATATTTTGCAATGTGACTTCATCACTGTTACTGTAGTAAAACTCCTCTGTGGACCTTCTCATCTCCAGATCCAGCTGCCTCCATCCTGCTTGGCATGCTCTTCTTGTTGGTCCTTGTGACATACCCTTTGGGTTCCTTCCTTCTGCTGCTTGTTAAGTGAAGACTGTTCTCAGCCATCAGGAGTTCTGTGTGGTCTGTTCCTCATTTTCCTTCCTCTCCACACGTTCCCTTTGCCTTCGTTTAGTCCCGTTTCTCCAACTATGGCCTCTGTGCCAATGAATCCAAATGTATCTCTCAACCCCTTTCTCTTGCCTGAGCTCCAGTCCCGCATCCCCAACTGCCTTCTACGTACTTCCACCCCAGTGTCTAGCTGGCACCTCTCAGCAAGACTGTGTGCTGTGACCGGGACTGGCGCCGTCCTCCTCTGGATGTCAGGAGCTAAGTCATAGCACATCTCTGAGTCCTTTCTCCTCCACCCTCTCTTCACTGTCCTGGTTTTCTTCCTCATTCTGCCAGCTGGGATTTTGGCAACACTGCTGTCAGGTTAGGCCCTGCCCTGCCCCTCCCTTGCTCAGAAAGCAAAATAAAGAAACCACTGAAGTCTAAACATCATAGCTGGTACACAAGACCTGGCAGTAGCTGGCCCCAAGGCACTTCTCCAGTCCTGTTTTCTGTATTCCCATCACGTTGCCTGTGCTGTAGGCAAACTGTATTCTATTTCCAAAAGTAATTTATTGTTTTGTTTTGTTTTACAAATACTATTACGGTCATTGCCAGTAGCTAATGGATGAGGTGGCGCCATGTTTTTAAGAGGCAAATTATAAAGCTTTGGGGGAGGAAGAGAAAAAGGAAGAGAATGGCGTGGAGCCAAGACCCAGTGCAGGTTGCAAGGTATGTGCTTGAGGAGAGTGAGGAGGGTAATCTGGAAGAATGTTCTGGAAGGAGAGATTGTGGGAAAGCCAAAGGACCTGTAAGGAAAGGAGAGCCCTGAAGCAGGTCTTGGAGGACAACCTCTGTCTACTATCTTCACATTCCATGTGCTTTTAGTTCTCAGTGAACTAAAAGGCAAGAGTGGAGAGGCCCAGGAAAGATGTGGCATCTGTGCCCTGGGGATCATGCGGAGGGAGCCATTGGAGATGAGAAGCTGAAGTAAAACCCCCGGCAAAGCTGGTCAGCATAGGTTTACAGGGAGCGTCCTCTGCAGGCATGTGTTAGAAGGTACAGTAGATGGGACAGATTGCCAGAGACCAGGAATTGGAAAGGTTGGTACAGAAGCAAGGCAAACACAGGAGGGGAGGAATCAAGGGAACTACTGAGGGCCCAGTGGAGATGGCCAGCCTTGGAGTCTTGGGTGGAGTTCATGACCTGAGCCTGGGTGGTGTGAAGTCATGAGAAGGCATGTCAGGAGGAAGGGATGAATGCACCACGGGAGGTGGTGGTTGGGTAGGAAATCCGCATTCCCATTGTAGAAGTGAAGTTGTTCTAAGTGATGGCACATCCCAGGGAAGAGCTGATGTGGAGAGAAGATGAGGCCCTTGACCTGAGGCCAGGGTGTGGCAGAATCAACATAGATGTTGGTGGTCAGTGGATTTGGGATTGTGACCTGACTACTGGTACATTACTGGAAATACAGATGCTCAGTAAATATCCGTTCAGTGCATTGATAGGTGGACAACTGTCAACATAGCCTTTCTTTAGTTCTTCCTGTTGATGTTTTGAACCAGTGGGGTATGAGTCCTTCTCAGGGAAATCTCATGCTAGCTTTCTATTCCTTGCCCAACTGAGACATGAGTAGGAGAAGGTGGGAATTTTCAGCACTTTCTGAGTTAATATGGTTTTGTGTTCATTAGAATATTTATGAATTCAACTTTTGAAGCACATTCCATGTCTGTTCAGAGTTGTCCACTCCTCTGTACAACCCCTGGCACTCAGCTGGCTTTCTTTTCCCTCTACAGCAATGCCCTTCCCTGCCACTGCAGCTGGCAAAATTCATACCCTGTAAAGCCAACTTAGTCGCATTCTTTTTGAATCTGCCCAACTGATTACACCTTCTCTTCTCACTGAACCCCCCAGGATGCTTCCTCCCTCCAGCATATAATGCATGTTTCTGTCCACTTGGCTTATATGAGCCAGAAACCCGAGGTTGCTTCATTTTTCTAACCTTTGCTGTGCCTGAAAGACCTCTTGAAAGTGTTAAAACCAAGATGTCACTTTGAAGTCTAAGGTGTGCCTGACACAAGCCATAGTATTTTCAATCACTTTTTACATGTGT